CACACCACAGACACCGCTGACGTGATGTAAAGCAGGCGTACATAAGAAAGCCTTTGAGTTCCCCTAGTAGACTATATATAGTACAGTGCTTGTCAATCTTTTTATAGCCAGCGCCCACTTTTTCTACCATCCAAAGGCTAAAATCTTCCTACCGCCCACTTAATGCACTTCCAAGAGTGGTATTAAATAATACCTGTCTCTCACAGCCCTGGTGATTCCAACCACCCACCAAAATTATCACACCGACAACGTGTGGGTGATATCTCCCTGGCTGGAAGGCATTGAAATAGGAGGTAGAACTATGTAGACAAGAAATCGTTTAGAGATTAAGGTTGGAATTGTTCATTGACTTTCCCTTACTTTCTTTTCACTGAAATGCTCACCCATCCTTCACATGCTTTAACCGACCTCTCACCGTCACCTTCCAACACCCCATCATCTATCCCATAACCTACTCCTCACTCACCCCTCTCACTCACCCCTCAATCACACCTCACACATCCCCCCAAACATCCACTCACACATTCTCTTACTCACCCCATCACAACACCCTCACACACCTCTCACCCTTCACTCACACCTCACTCACCCTCTCACACACCCTCTCACTCACACCCTCACACATCTCTCACCCCTCATTCATCTCTCACACGCCTTCACCCATCCCTCACCCATCCACCTTCCATACCTCACCCCTCAACCATCCCTCACCCATCCCTCACCCCTCACCCTTCCCTCACCCCTCACCCATCTACCACCCTTCACCCATCCCTCATCCATCCACCGCCCATCTCTCACCCCTCAACCATCCCTCACCCATTCCTCACCCCTCGCCAATCCCTCACCCACTCCTTCACATCTCCGTCACCCATTTCTTGTCCACCTTCGAAAGAAAACTGCACAAATCTCCCAAACAAAAACAAATTTCCTGTGCAGCTTTTCTCTATACAAAAAAAAAGAAAGATCCAGAAAAATCTAGAAAGATCCAGTATGAACAAGGAAGCAGATCTAACCAGCCACAACCGGACCGGGCTTAACAACCA